AGAACAGACCGCAGCATGAGCGTGCCTCAATCCTGGAAGAAGATGGTCTTAACATCCACCCTGCTCCCATAGGGACCCACCACCTGTGTTCAGGTAAGTTCTGCAATGCTTCTGAAACAAATACCCATGCTCAATAAGCACTGTCAGGCAATTTTTAAATTTCAAAACCAAGAGATAATTGCAGTCCATCACCAGCTGGCACCACTTTCTGCTCTGCCTGAAAGCTGAAGGATGCCAATGTCTGAACAGAGCAAACGCTCTCGCCACCGCAGACAGGCTCTAAATGACCTTTGCACAAAAAGGCTCTCCAGAAAACACCAAGCTTCTATAGTATGGATTTCTTCCAACCCATGGCATATCTGTGTTTGCTAGGTTGCTTTATGAGAGAGAAAGCAGCCTGGAGGAGTGGGACCAGCCGTGCCAAGCCAAACATGAAAGTACACCAAGTGAACAAATCTTCCTCCTGCCAGGGGCCAAACTGGGGAAAAGGGACAAAATGAAAATTAACCAAATACATGTGTTTTCACCAGCCATGTCTGTCATTTCTGTAAAAAAAAAAAAAAACAAAAATGTAAGAGACTATGACATGACATATAGATGAAAAACTGATAGTGGGCATGCTGCTGAATGTGCATCTCACATTCAGGCGCTGAACCCACACTGTTGTACAGACTGACTGCTGATGTTAATGCTGAGAAATCTTGTCTGTTAATCAAAGACTAACAAATGAGCTTTAAGCATTAAAATGCTGGCTTTTTGTTATCGCCATATTCATTTCCTTTATACTGTCTCTATGATAGTAACAAAACCCTTGAATGAAGCCAAAGACGAAGAATGCAACTGACTGACTAGCAAAAATAATCAAGCCAATAGCACATATTGCCCTGGCACCTTGAGAAGATTGCACATAACAATGAGAAGGGAACTAAATATAACACAAATATGGATGCAATTAGCATGAATTTTAAAAAAAACCCAACACAGTAAATGACTTTCTGTGAAAGGGAAAACGGTGCAGGAGGTGAACTTCACTGCAAAATTTCATGTGCGAAGAAACTAGAAGGTGAAGGACCTGACAATGGGAGTACAATGAGGGGAGACATGAAGCCTAGAGGGCCACAGACAGCCCAGGCTCCTTCGCTGGAAGGAGCACTGGGATGAACCCTGGTGAGCGCTGTGCAAGTGAAGCAGCACTTTCACAGTCCAATGCAGGCAGCAGCAGGTGACCAGAGAGAGGACAAGTACCACTTGGGGAAAAGCCAGAAGGTAAGATGATGAACCTCTTGGCAGAGAAAAACAACAAAGCAGGAAGAAACCAAAGCCTCATGATTAATACTCCTTTTCCTATCAAAAAGAGCAGCAAGGTTTGAAATTGCCACACAACACTTTGCTCTTTCCTGCTTAAGACACATAAGATCTGATGAAGCGCCTCTCGTGGTCCTTTGTCCTTTGCCCACAGTCAGGGTTATAAGAAAACAGAGGAATTTTTACTTTACAATGTAAAATCCTGAACATATATAATCTGATAGATAGCTGTTAAAAAAAAAAAAAAAAAAAAAAAAAAAAAAAAAAAAAAAAAAAAAAAAAAAAAAAAAAAAAAAAAAAAAAAAAAAAAAAACCAAAAAAAAACAGGCATACAAATTATGTCTGTCTTAGTTCCTGACTCAAGTCTGTGCTCTACCATTTGATCTGATCAGCACTGGTTTGATCTAAAAGTGTGAGTGCACAGGGAATCTTTCAGTTGACATAGGTATTCTTTTCCCAGAGAAAGCACCAATTTTCTATCATGAAATGCACATATTATGTGAAATAGTCCACACTTGGGGGAGAAGAATGCCAGTATTTGCAGTCGGTTTCTGAAATTGATCTGTCCTTGATCTGGATGCATGAGTTGAGCCTGGATTTGCTCTAAATTGTAACCAGTCAAAACATTAGCAGCAATCATAGCAGCAGAGAAATTCACTGTAAGAATCGATCCCAAACAGTCCATAAATGAGCATCAGAACTAGCACATTCAACAGAAGTTTTATATCACAGCCAATAAAATAGAAAAAAAGTTTGAATAATCTGCATTCAAGAGCACATTGCTGAAGTAGAAACCTTATTATTTCCATTAGATTTCCCTTTCAATTTTAAAAAATTTGCATAGTGTAATGCTTACAAACTGCGTTTTATTCACTGAAAAGAAATTATCTTGTCAAAAGAATCCCCTTTAATTACAAAAATTACTTTCCAGACAAGACAATCCTACCAAGTCTTTCCCACAGGCACTCTTTTCTACATTTAACTGAACAAGGTCCTACTCTGATATCACTGAGCTTTCAGAATCAAAACTCCAGCACCAAACAGCCAGGCAGCATGACAAGCAAGTTAACACCCTGAAGTCCTGCAACTGACAAGATGCAAAACTTTTTCAAAAGACAGGTGCACACTCCATAATAAAACCCTGCCTTTCTTTTAATTGGTAAAAGAGACAGAAGCCTTAATTTGAGAAGAAACATTCCTTTTATTTTTGCTGGTTTTAGGCTACTGCACGTTAAGGACAGTGCATGCAGGAGACTCACACGTTGCCTGTGGTGCAGAAGCACCAAGGCTGTGCCTTTCTGCCTCAGAACAAATGGGCCAGTGTGCTTTATGCAGCCCACCAATACAAAATAACCAAACCTAATCCCTTCAACTAACAGCACGCTCACGGATTGCCCACGCCAGCTCACTCAGTAAAATGCCTCCGGGTTTGTTGAGAGCACGCGTTCTATGAACTACGGCAGTTTTAACCTCTCCAAAACCTTTCTATAAACCAAAGATGTACCAATAGCAATTGAGTGCAAGGGTATCCCTGCAGGTTAACTTTGGGTGGCAAGCCTCTATGATGAGGTCTTGCCCAGCAAAGAGATTCCTTCACAACACCTGGCAAGAGCACGCCAGTTATCACTGAAGAGACCCTGGCTTTCCCCCAGGATGGAGCCCACTGAAGTTTCACAGTGTTCTCCACGATAAGAATGCATCATCACTCCTGAGACAGCTGGGTTCCTAAACTGGAACTCTGTGCATGCAGGGGCTTTGCTAGTACCTCCAAGACACAATGCTGCAAACCCAGCTCTTACTGCATAAAAGCTAATTAGTGTCACACACCTCAACAATGTGAAGCAGTGTTTCTCTATCAACAGACACCCATAGAATACTGCTATGAATAATTCCTGAAATAACTATGAATACAATGACCCTAACTATAAATATAATGACCCAAAGCATAAATGTACACAACGTTCCTTCCCAACAATTTTAGCAGAAAATAAGGAGAACCAAGTATTAAGCCTCAGTAGTCAAAGCTGCGAGCATAAGCAAAACATTTTTAACTTTAAGTATAAACAAGCAGTATACAAAAAAAAATCTACTTGGCAGCCTACTCTACTCAAATAAATTAGCTCCTATAATATTCCTCCAAATATATTTTTGGCAGATCCAAAAGTTAACAATTTATGGCTACATTTAGTAATAAAAAGTCTTTGAAACTATTTCCAACTGCTGAGGTCTGATATTTAGGAAGGTTTAGATACCTGTCTTCAGTAAAGAGAACCCCTTTCCCATCTGAGAGTTTCAGAATGAAATTCATGTAAAGTTGTACAACTAAAAGTAAAATCAAATGGTGGTCCAACTGAAAGGGAAACGCTGCAAGAGGGGAAAAAAAAAAAAAAAAAAAAAAAAAAAAAAAAAAAAAAAAAAAAAAAAAAAAAAAAAAAAAAAAAAAAAAAAAAAAAAAGCCATTTGAGAAAGCAGCTCCAGAGTTCCTAACACCAGCTAGTTCAGGATGTGCAATAATCTGGGGTAACTCAGCATGAATTGAAGAAAACTCATCTGTCCAGCTTAAACAGAAATCACTGAAAATCATCTTCAAGCAAATGCATGTGAATCATTTTGGCTAATGAAAAGATACCCCTCAAGCCGAGGAACTTACGTAAATTACATTTCTCCTAATTCTGCCAAAAAACATTAAAGAAAATGGATTTGCCAAAGATAAAAGCAAAGTAGGCATGATAGATCATCCATTAGCAATACAAGTATGGCTAATTCTTCCTGACAGTGAAATGTCTTGGGATGCAACCCACTTTATTTTTTTTTTTACTAGATGTGTGTGTTTAGATGCTGTATATCCTACACATTTTATACCCTTATATCATAGACTTCACTACTAGTGAGATTTTACAAAAATCAGGCCTTAACAACAACCTATTAAGAAGAGAAAACATATGGGCAACTTAAAGTATTTCAGTGTAGTAAAAAAAAATTAAAAATTAAATAGGAGCTTTATAATATCTGCAAGTATTGCAAGTAGTTTAAAATGGTACAAATTAATACAGTTAATCTGAATTAATAACAAGAAGGAAAAAGTCACATGCTTATGAGGAATCACAAGGGCAGAATTAATATTGCACTCTACTCACTGTTAGAACAACTAGTGAAGTAGTTTGGGCTTTACTTTTTTCATAAATGCATTTCTGACGTGCAAGGTTGTACTGCATTCTCTAGCATACAACTTTTATTTATTCATGTAAACGTCAGAAATCCATCAGCAAACAAAGCCATATGGAAGAAAAAGAGATATAATGGATTTTCTGTTTGCTTTAGAAACTTGACATCTGCGGATAGCATCATCCAACTTACAATGCAATCACTATTCGTATTCTGGTCATTTTCATTTACCAATCCAAAACGCATTTTATCTAATGATACAAAAAGCTCTGGGAATAGGATAGCAGAGAAGAAATCATGTTTTAGAAACTTAAAATGGGAATATACTTTAATATTTTCCCTTTCACATCATAAATTCAGAGAAAAGCAAACTCACATCTGTTCTAACTTAGCTTTTAAAAAACGAAGAAAACGCATCAGGATTATTTATATCTTGTCTGTATTTGTGGCAAGATTTTCGGGGCCGGACCGAGCCGCGGGTGCCACCTGAGCTCCGCCAAGTTCCCGGGGGCCGGGCTCGCGGTACTTACCCCCGCAGAGCAGGAGGAGCCCGGCTGTCCGCGCCGCCGAGCGCATCTTCCCCGCGCGGTGCGGCCCCGCCTCGGCGCTCCGGGCGGCACCGGCCGGGCTGCCGGACGGTCCGCGGGTCTCAGTCGGGCCGGCCCATGGCCCGGGCCGGCGGCAGCACGGAGCCGGGCGCGGACGGGACAGCCCGCGCCGGGATGCTTCTCCGCCGCTCCTTCCCTCGGTCCTCCTGGCTCCGGTGCCGCCCCGCCGCCACCGGCCGGGAAGAAAGCGCCTCGTTCCCTCGGCGGTGCCGGCGCCTCTCGGGCTCTGCGGGGAGAGCGAAGTCAGGAGCGAAGCCTCCGCTCCGCCGCGCCCGGCGCCGAACCCCCCGCGCTGCCCGGGCGGCGGCACCGCCCGGCTCCGGCCAGCCCCCGGCCCCTCCTCCGCGGCCGCCGGGCCGCTCTGCCCGGGCCGCCCCGCCCCGCCCGCGGAGCCTCCGCCGAGGGGCGGCCCCGCCCCGCGCATCCCCGCGGGCAAGGTGCGGGGCCGGGCACCGGCCCGCGTCCCCCGGCCCCGCGGGCAGCAGCGGGGCGCGGGCGGCAGGAGCGGGAGGCGGCGGCCTGAGGGAGAAGACCGGCGAGCCGCGCAAACACACCAGGTGCGAGACAAAGCGGGGACAGGCGCTGCGGCACCAGGATGTGCCCGAGTGGCCGTCTTCCCCGTCAGCCGAAACACATTAAACGTGTTGAATAATTAATCCTTAGGAGAGGAGACAGTTTTTGCTTGATGGTAGGAGGATGCTGTAGAAGATGTGCGCTACCTGGCAGGCAACCAAAGTAACCCGGAACGCGCGCGTCCCGCTGAGCGGCGAAACGCCACTTTTAAACCGCAAGCGGGAGGGGGTGGGGGGCGGGAAACCTAACCGAGCCAAAGCTGAAATACGCTGTGACAGGTCGGGCTGGGCGAGAAAAGCACTCCGAAAAAGCCGCCGCTCACAAACGCCGCCCCGAGCCCCGCCGCCGGCGCTGCCTCCGCCCGGCGGCCCCGCCGCAGCGCCCGGCCCGCCCGCGCCCTGCCCCGGCTGCCGCGGCCGCGCCGGAGCCGCGGGCAGCGCGGGATGGGCGGGCACAGCCTCCCGACCCCCGCGGGCACAGCCTCCCGACCCCCGCGGGCGCAGCCTCCCGACACCCGCGGGCACAGCCTCCCGACCCCCGCGGGCGCAGCCTCCCGACACCCGCGGGCACAGCCTCCCGACACCGACCCCCGCGGGCGCAGCCTCCCGACCCCCGCGGGCACAGCCTCCCGACCCCCGCGGGCGCAGCCTCCCGACCCCCGCGGGCGCAGCCTCCCGACACCGACCCCCGCGGGCACAGCCTCCCGACCCCCGCGGTCACAGCCTCCCGACACCGACCCCCGCGGGCACAGCCTCCCGACACCCGCGGGCACCGCGCCCGCGCAGCCTCTGGAGGGGCCACGGCGACTGCCGCCTTACACAAACCCTGCCCCGCTCCCCGCACCTCTCCTGTCACGGCATCTTCAACCTGCCGAGGAGATATTTATTTTCTGCTCCTCTCCCGAAAGACGATGCTGCTTCCACACAGCCGCGCTGCTCCAGAGATCTGGTCGTCAGGATTCAGACACAGATCAGCAGCTACAGCGTTCGGCTTCACCAGCCTTCACACTCTGAAACGCCCAAGCAAGGTCAAGTAGACACACAGGGTAGATAACCCGGTGCCGTTGCACCTAGCAAGAATTGCTGTAGATTATTTAAATATAAGTCAAAAAAGAATTCTCTCTCTAGGTTAGTAAGGTCTCTGCTTACAATACCTAGCACTTTAAGAGGCAAAGTACGAGAAATAGTACTACAGGAATAGTAAAAGAGATAACCTATTTTAACTTTTCTGTTAGATCTTCAAGTTAAATCTTCTTCCATGGTCTTCATAAGGCTTGGGAAAACAATAAGCCAAGTCAAAGCAACTAGAAGGGTAATAATGAATTTGAGATGAACAATAATAACCACCATTAATTAATTGCTTTTGAAGCTGCCTGTCACATAGTGTAAATTAAACTTTTGAGTACTTACTCACGTGTCAAGTGTTTGTGGGGCTTTTGCAAGTGCCTGAAAGAGGAAACTGAGAAGGTTACTTGGGAAGTATTTGTGAACCAAATGAAAGTCTATAGCAAAGAAAGCAACACATAAAACATTAACATTAAATCAATGCTTTGTGGAGAAATGTCTTAGGTTAAGCTAAGCTTTATCTTAAATCATATTTAAAAGCTCGTGCAGTATACAAATCAATATTGATGCCATCTAAAATACACCACTATCATCTGCACTGATAAATGCCAGTTTTCATCCAGGACAAAGTGACTTCTTGGAAGAATTTCAAGGACTTACAATCTCTTCTGGCATCTCAGCAACTGAAGCCAAAGCTGTACTCTTCTGCCAGCTTCAGGCTCTGCTCCAGCACACTAAAACTGGTTTTAGATGCCATCATGTTCGTCATGCAAGCAACAGAAGTAAGGTCACCAGAATAATTTTTTCATTTGATTTCCAGGCTTTTAAGCTAAGCAGTTTTATGTGTTTTCAGAGAATTGTAGCTTACACACAACGCACCTGGAAAAAACTATCCAACTTGGATGAAATACGTGTGTCTTCTGTGTTCCAGCTACTGTGATCACGTCTCTCATGTTAATGTAGTCACCATTCTTCCTGAAACTGCTGTCCTTTATGTCAGCACTGGTATATTGAGGAAACATAGTTCAGCCAGGAATTATAGCCTACCATACAGAAGACAAAAATAACATAAGTGCAGCATCTCTCAAATCCTCGAAAAGCCTATCAAAATTGAGGCATTTTAAATTTTCCACTTGAAATTCAAACTTCAGGAGAAAAATCTTAAACCCTTCATGCCCAGCCTGGTTTCCACATCCCTGAAGAGGCCCAAGACAGGCTGTGAACCATCTGCCCTTGAGTTTACATGAGCCATACAAGCCTATAGCAACCATCTCTTTCCAACAGCTAACTTCTGCTGCACCATGCATAAAATACACTTCCACGTCATTCACTTGGTTTCTTTGTCTGAAGGCCTTTTGAAAACTGAATGAAAATCTGTGCTTGTAAATGGGGAATAAAAAAGCGAGGTGTCCTTAATTTCCCAGAAAAACTCAAGCTTTGCAGTGGCATCTCCCATCATTCTCCTAGCAGAAATACTTTGGAAGTAAATCAACACTTTCCTGCAGGCTAGTGCAATTGCAAAACTATGGCTCATACTCCTTCTCTTCCCCCCACCCCCCTGCTTTGACTCATTTATTTGGCACAGCAGGCTGAACTATTAAATTATTGTAGGTTTTCCTTTTATAAAGGCACCATGAGATGTCTCGATACAAAAATGCTTCCTGAAACTGATGCAGATTGATAACTGTTTCTTGGTTTCATCACAAGTCTTATATCATGTTCATTTAGCATCAGGGCAAGACACTTCAGGACTGTTTCACCTTTCTATGTTTTCCAAACAGTCATGCACAAACACTGAAATATTTTCGGGTAAAACCCTTCCTAGGATATTGTATTTAAAATACAATTCTCGATCAGTTCAGGGCTTGAATACTTTTTTCCCCCATGCTATGAAGTTGGTTACTGTAGAAACTCAGTCTGAGATGCTGCTGTTGATCATGTAGGACAAAACTATTTTAAACCTACAAAAATGGGTTATTAACATTCAACACTATTTTGTGATCAAACTGTCAAGTCTTTCATACAGTTACAACTACGGTGGCACTAAACAGATATTCTTCCTGAGGTAGATCTAATAGTAAAAGGACAGATTAAACTTTGATCCTGACAGTGACAAAGAATTTATCTGCATGTCATACTTAAAGTTCTTATATACATGTTTTTCCACAATCCCTGGGCTTTATTTTCCTATCCTTCTGTCAATTTCTTTATTTTCTATTTGTTAGATATTGCTAACATATAAACTGCACAGTATCCACATTATCTATTTAATTTTTATCCACTTGAGAGCATCGAAAGAGCTAAAAGCTCTTTGTTTTCCCAAAATACTCATCCAAAAGTGCTATGAATTGGTCAGAAACACTGACTACCATGAAGAAGCAGCAAACTTGTGCTAGGAGATGTCTCCATCTTGGCACCTAGAGAAGGGAACCAAGAAGCTATTTCTTTCAAGTCAGGAGGAAAGAAGTCATACTTGTGGAGAAAGTGCTACAGACTGTCCTGATAACAAGAAGTTTAAGCAAGAGCTTAGGATTGTCCAATAAATAGATAGATTTCAAGGCAAAACCCAGATTCTTGTGAAAGCAGTGACTGGCATAAGTGAAGATGCTCTTTGAGGGAAGGCAGAACATGAGCCTGGGCCAGGACCATGACCAGGAAGAATGAGTGTCCTTTGATGACCTGACAAAGCTGTCCCTCCTGGGAGCGGGCTGCACCAGGACTGCCCTCATCTGACCTCACTGCTGCTTCTTGGCAATAAAATTCTAAATTCCTTCAACAACATTAGTTTGTGTCACTGTAAATGTAATATAAAGCCTTTTTAAAAATACATTAATCCTCAAAAATTGCCTGATTTCTGGCCATCAGATTGTTTCACTGAAAGCATGAAATCATAAATCACAATGTCTGGTGCCATCAGAAGTCAGTACCAAAATAGGTCTCTGAAATTTTCAAATGCTTGCCTTTATTGCTGCAGGTTTCCATGAAGCACAGGATGACTATGCTGGAGCATTTCCATGCAGAGAGGAAACAAATTCTCCCAATATTTGCAAACAACAGGTGCTTTTTTGTTTCAATTCTGTTCATAATCTCATGTCATATTGCATCTATCTTGTTACAAAAACCCTCTAAAACTAACAGGAAATGAAAGCTCAGGACATAAAAGTTTTCATGTCTAAGGATTGTCCTGGAGGTGCCATGGATGCAGCTATTATGTCAGAAAAAGGCATTTGGAGCGAAGTCACTTGGATACACACTAGCACTCGACCACTGTACTTTCATTAATGTGAGTTCCAAACGCAGAGAAATCCAAAGGTATGATTTCTGTACTCTCGTGGAGCAGCAGGATTACAGGAGTGTGAGTGCATGAGGATGTGCACCTTGCTGTGATGATGAGCACTGCTTCGGGTGAGCGAGCCTGCAAGCCTGGTGTGCCTGCAGCAGAGCATCCAGCAGAGCTGTGCCGTTGCACCGCCGCAGGAATATCCCCAGCTAGCATCAGGGACAGGGCTGATGACTCATGGTTATCTCATTTGCACAGACAATCATTTTTGCCTGGAACCATACTATAGCATAAACCCAAC